AGAAGTACGGCATCAAGTTTGGCTTCATGTCCATCTTCTCGAAGGCCAGTGCCTATGCGCTGCAGGATCAGCCCGTGGTGAACGCTGTCATCGATGGCACGGTAAACAAGCCTCCGCCCCGCCCTCCGCTTATCAATCTCTTATCGCCCGTGACGTAGTCTGTTGGGCCATGCTGTTTAAAGTGCCCTTATCAGCCGACAATTTTTCGTTTTATGTCGGTTTTGTTTATGCAATTTCCCGTGGCGATATGACGATGAATGTGGAATATTCGGTGTTGCCAAGCGCTCATAATTCCCTTGATTTTGCAGGACATTGTGTACCGCGATTACGTGGACATCTCTGTGGCCGTGGCCACGCCCCGTGGCCTGGTGGTGCCCGTCATCCGGAACGTGGAGGGCATGAACTATGCTGACATCGAGATCGCCCTGGCCGGTTGGCCGACAAGGCAAAGCGGGATGCCATCACCGTGGAGGACATGGACGGCGGCACCTTCACCATAGCAATGGAGGAGTGTTCGGATCCCTGATGGGCACGCCCATCATCAATCCGCCACAGAGGCGCCATTCTCGGCATGCACGGCATCTTTGAGCGGCCAATCGCTGTCAAGGAGAGGTTGGTTATCCCTTCACCAATCTTAACTACCTGTATTAATCATTTTATTTCGAAACCAGGTTCAAGATTCGTCCCATGATGTATGTGGCCCTGACCTACGATCACCGAATCATCGATGGCCGCGAGGCGGTTCTGTTCCTGCGCAAAGTCAAGGCTGCCGTGGAGAACCCAGCGATCATTGTAGCCGGCTTGTAGAGTGAATTGTCTTAAAACGCGTCCACGGCCTTCATTTGATATTAGCCACCATAATTTGAAACTAATTTTTGGGTTATTTATTATTTTATTTCGCGAACGTCACAAAAAAAAAATAGAGAAGCAACAAAATTCGAACTCTACTCGTAGTATGGGAAGTAGTCAAAATAAATCAAACGTGGATCTTTTCTTAAAATAAACTGTGCACTGAATGTTACTGTTAACCTAAGACGCTGCGAAGCAATGTCGTAATAAAGCGATGACGAATATTGACCAACCTCAATGCAGGCTACTTGGAGCGTTACACTATAACAGCGGTCGACAGCGTCCCTCTAAGCGGGCCTAGGGGAAAGACCTGCCCAGTCTCTGCCGGCACACATACAGCGTAGGACTTTACTGCCCCTTGTATTTCTAGCCGACCGCTGCACTATAATCAACCTGCACCGTATAAGAAATCGGTTGTATTATTTGTATTATCTAATAGTTTTCAATGGCGCCTAAACAATTAGTTTCAATTACCTTATCTATAACAATTTGGAATACATAATTCAAATTGTAAACAGTCTTATCATTTTTTCTGTCATGTGAGAATGGCTTTTAATTTGTATTTTAAGTACCTTGTGGTAGTAGGGGGAGATTATTTCGGTGTCAATCGCTGTAGTAATTAGTAATTGATAAGTCCTCTTTAAAATTTTGGTTGTATGTTACGTTGAATACTTCATAATTTTATTCAAATTTTAAGAAACCAAAATCCCAATGTAATTTTTGATTAGGTAAATTTTTTGAAATTACAAACGGTTAAGATATAATAAACAGGAATATTGTGATTCTTTCGCTTTTCACTTTCGGTATACATATCAATATCACATTCCTCAGAAGGTATCCTCTTTGGTCAAGAATTTAAAAAGATGGATTCAGATCTATAAAGAGTACCTCAACGGTCATGCAAAGATCAATTTTCACTAGTATTGAGAAGGCTATTGATAAAAGTTCTTGATTTAATTAAACATTTTTAAAAAATTACTTTCTATTCTTACCGGTTTAAAGCAGTTTTAGCAGTTAGTTTTGGATTGGATATCTGCAATAAATTGATTGATGTAATTCTTTAATTACTGAAGTAGTTCCACCTGAAACACCTTTTCTTGAAAGAACTTAGGTTAAGTAAAACTCGGGTTTATTGTTTTGTTATTAGAGCAAATTGGCTTGTACAATTTTATTGATTTTTGTTTGGTAATAGTAATTTTACTATTTCTAATGTTTACAATATTTATGTGTTTTCGAGGTGTGCGGTTGAATTAACAATTTAAAATATATGTGGGTACAAAAGATTAATGTGATTTTGAGGCGTGATGCTAAATAATATTTTTGGTTACATGATTTTTTTTAAATATACTTATGGAAAATTAATTTTTTTAGATCTATTAAAGATTGATTAACACAGTTTTGATTTCGTTTTGTTTCTTGGTTGAATTTTCGTGTTTTTCTGATGCTTTTCATTTTTGCTTATCACATGTGTCGAAAAAAAATATTAATTGAATCTGTCGACGATAATGATAGTAGGGAGAACATCGAAATTATATGTATAAAAATATACTTGAGTGTAAATGAATGTAAATATAAAATCACATAAAAAATGCGGCAATCGTTTCGTCTAAAATATTTCGCAATTCGATTGCGAAATTTCCAAAAGTTGAAATTTTAGACAAAAGGATTGGCATTATCTACATTAGTTTTCGTGTGTCTTTTGCTTTTTGTGAGTTTTTGTGCAATTTCTCGTACTTCTCGTATAATTTTAGCTTAACTAAGGGGATACAGAGTGTAGTTACGTGGTACAATTCGCGCTTAATCGTAGTTCCTGATGATGGTGCTTGTTTTTTGGGTCTAAAGAGGCCTAAGGTGAAGCTAACACGTCTGTCTTTTTGATCTGCCCGATGGGGAATTTCCATTATCTAGGGGTTGAGTTGGGGGTCAGGGACCGGGGCGTTTGTGGGCGGGGTCAGTCGGCACTGCACTTGGCTAAGTGCAACACTCTTAATTCTAAGCAATTACACTAGGTATCCCCAACCTTGTGTCCGAAATGTTTTCTTTTCGCGATTTTCCTTTTCTTCCTGTTCTGGCTATATAGAATGTATATATTCCTGATCCTTTCTTTTGGCTTATCTCTCTCTCTATCTATCTCTATCTGTCTCTCTCTTTGCGTAGATCTGCGTAGGTCGGAAGGATATCTTTTCTTTTTTCTCAATTTTTGAATGTCTTTCAATAGAACTATTGTACAAGATTCCATTTGCTACTCTTCGTGGGTGCTTCTCGCGTCTGTCTCAATGATTTTGCAAATTTCCAAATTGCCCGAAACTTCCTTGGTACTTTTGATTTCTTTCCTACTAGCCAAAGGTGGAAGATGCTGCTCTCTCGGATGAATGGGGTTGTGTGTAAATAAAATTCATAACTAAATTTCTGGGCCGGATTCGGGGGATTGGAGCCTCTTCGTTGTAATTTTGGTTGCTTGAATTTGCTTTTTTTGGGCTTCGGCTTGGGTGTTTTTACGTTGGTCCTGCTAGTACAAGTCGGAAATGTGTAATTTCATAAGACGGTTTTTGCATTTTCTTGTTTGCCAAGTCTCTGGGTGGTGATTCTGAGTGTGTGTGTGTTGTCATATAGTCATCGTGGAGTCGGCTGCCACTTGGCCGGGCAACTTTAGCCATGAATTTATAAATCAAAAACGTTCTGCTGTCTAGTGGCCATTGACTGGGTGGTGGGTGTTTCTGCGGAGTATGGGTATCTCTTTTGGATTGGGTGTCCTATCGTATCGTATCGTATCGTTTGTGTCTCTTCTTGGCAGAGGGTCTGTTATGGTCCTTGGAAGTGGTAGTGGTAGTGGTAGTGGTAGTGCCCCTCATGCCAGCCATATTTTATTTATTGATGGCAATTATGCCTCGACCTCGGCTATTGCCAGTAGTTTATATAAATTTGGAGTTTTGTTTGATGTGCTTTCAGCTGCATGATGATGGTTCGAACTTTTGCCAAAGAAACCAAGTCTGACCACATTTCTGAAAGGGATTCTGATTTTGATTCTGGGAGTCTGGAGCTGGCTCTGAGTTTGATTTTGAGTTTGAGTTTGAGTTTGAGTTTGGGAGGTGAAGTTTTTCAGCTGTGCTCGTGACACTCGTCTCGGAATATTACTTAAAGTTGCGGTTCTGCTGGCGTGCCTTCATTTTGTTTGAGATTTTGATTTTGATTATAATTTTGATTTCGAATTGGATTTGGGTTAAGTTGTTTTAGTTGTGTGTCTTCGAATTTGGCATCGTTTTTTGTGCGGCGGCCTTCGGGCGAAAGTAATGGGCTTGAGGCCTCTCCTGGGGCGGATCAAAGTGGTCATCGTCATCGAGAATCTTTTGAGGATGGATGGATGCTGTTGATTTTGCCGGGTCAACTGGTTTTTCAACCCCCTTCTATGGAGAGTCTTCTTTGAAATCGCGTGCCTTTGTTTTTGTTTCGGTTCATTTTCAGTTTCAGCTTGTGTTTCTGTTTTCAGTCTTTTAGTTTTCAGCTACAGTTTTTGTTCTTGCGGATTTGGAATTTTCACGAGAGCTGGGAATTGTTTTGTTTCGCTGTGATTTATCTGCCGTCTGCCGTTCGCCTCGCCCTTTGGCCGCCATTTGTAAGATTTTGGCCAGAAAGTTGCCAGGAGTTTCCCTAACCATGTTCCTGTTCCTGTCGCGTCTTCTTCGCCAGCTCCAGCTCGGAATTTTGGTGCTTTTCGGCGGCCTCCGTTTTTGCTCCTGACATTTTGTCGCATTAAAACTTCCGCAGTTTCTTGTAATTTATAATACTGCCTTTTTGAAATTTAGCTAGAGTTATTTTTTTTCTCTCTTATTTTTGAATTTTTGGCTTTGTTTTGCTTTCTGAATTTAATGGGTGGGCTGCGAATACTTAATCATCTTAATGTGGTAATAATTATGCACCGAAGGTTCCTCGAATGCTGCGACATCTGAACAGGATTTGTTGTCAACTTATTAAATTTGGCAGTGCTTTGGTCTGTTTTTTTTTGGAATTTCGGATTGTTCTTATTGTCATTTTAATTGTTGTTTATAATTACTATGCATTTTTCTGGTTTTTGTTTTTGAATGAGTGTGGATTTTGGTTGGTGTTTTGTTTTACCTGGTCTGATAAAATGCTTTAAATTAAATTTTGGACTGAATTTTGAATTTTGTGGCCGGTGAGTGGTGAAATTTGGATTTTAATTTGGTGTCGGTTTTCAATTTTGACGATTGCCAGAGGAGCCGAAAGTTGTAATTGGATTTTTGGATATGGGTTGGCTGGTTCTAAAATAAAATAATTTAGATATGTTAATATTATTTTTGGTTTTGAAAAAGGCAGACCTTTAGTCGAAATAATTTAAAAATAATTAAAATGTTTTTGAATTTTTTTCAATTTACTTTTTTGATGAATATGAATTTTTTAAATTGATGGTAAGGTCATTTTAATTTTATATGAGTACTAAAAAATATATTTTTGGGGTTTTCAGACCTGAAGGTAATGATTTAGAAATAATTTAAATTGGTTGCACAAATTGTATGAATTTAGCAAAAAAATTAAACGATTAACCAAATTTGAAAAAATGATAATTAGTCAAAATATATAATCATTTTGAAATGCTTAAAGTTTTAAATGTAAAGGTGTTAAATTTATTTTTATGTTGTAAATATTCTCGTGGTGAAACTAACTATGAGTTTTAAGTGATGTGAATATAAATAGTTTTGGTTGAAAACTAAATTTGGTTCAGAAAGTGATTTAATTTTAGATCTAATAAATGAAGGATTTTGATTTTTGGTATTGCTTTTTGATAAATAATTTAAAGGAAAATATATTTTTGAAATATTAGTCCCAACAGCGACATTTTCTAAACTATGACATGGATTGAAGTACTCCAAACAATTGTTAAAGTTTTTAAACAAATTTTTGATTTGATATTAAGAAAGTATCATAAATGTCTTAAAATTGTTTTCAGAACTGTCTTAGTAGCTTATAAAATGTTGACGTATTGCTGTTCATGTTTATTTAGTTTGTATATTTTGTCTATTCATAAATATAGTTTGTTAATTTAACAGTGGCTGAAGAAATGTTTTTTAAACTTTGGTTCAGGACTAGTTTTGTTGATTTTGTAATTTTTTTAGATTGCAACTTTGTTTTTTTGTTCTATACGATTTTGATTTTTTTGTTTGTTTTTGTATTGAGAAATAATGTGATTTGTGGACTTGGCTCTGAAGTTTTTGTTTTAAGTATGGTTTGCTT